CGACGGATAACCCACAATTGTATTTCATTTGTATAAAGTTACCTTTACTAAATACAATATTTCCCACTTGTGACGATTTGCAGCTATCGATTTTTTTGCATGCTAGTTAACATTCATGTCAGTCAGCTGTTGGCTCTCACGCTGGCCAATAGAATCTTCCTGCCTATTCGTGGCAGTCCGCTATAGGCTTTCACTCTGGCCAGTAGAAAATGGCTGCAAACTACATGAAAACTGCCGTAGAAGAATGAAAAAAATCAATTATTTCCATTATCGATTGGAGTCGGGAAATGCAGTGTCGGTCTTGGCCTTTCCGCTAACCTGGAGCATGTGCATGTAAATTTTGGTGCAAATCCGTCGAAAATTGTGGCTGTGCATTCGTTACACAGCCACACACACACATGCAGCCTTTTATAGATAGAGATGTGTGTTAATGTATGCATATATATATTTAATAATAGGAATAAGCTGCTCGGTGGACTATAGATATCATACTATAGTAACACCGTGCCTTCTTATATAGGTCGAAGATAGGCTCCAAATGATAACCATAGTTTAATATCTCCCCAAAATGTACTCACTTTTTAACATCATTTACATCTTCTGATACAATTGATACTACAGCTGTCCCAAAATGAATGCTACATTTACATCCACACTGCATACACCAAATTTAACAACCGCTGTGAGACAGGTGCAATATTGATAAGATTTTATGGAAAAAAAGGGATGATTACAGGTTTCAATACTTTATTTTGTGATTTCTTGTATGTACAGGAAATTTAACAAAACCAAAAAAAAAAAAAAAAAAGAAAAAATAGGACCTATTTTTCCTTTTAACAATGTTAAAAAAAAAACAAAAAAAACGGGTCAGCAACTTTTTTCAAGAAAGACAACCACTTGTTGGTTATTGTTAAAATAGATCTGACCACGTTGGGGCAAATTTGTACAATTCTAATAACAAATAGGTCCTTAACTAAAAGTTTAACTTCAAATACTGAAAAAACTCTTTATTGAGAAAAAAAAAAAAAAAAAATTGAGAGAGGTTGATAGCAAATAAAACTTTAAAACAAAAATACAATCAATTTACATTAACCATTTCAAACCTAATGAGGTATTTAAGTCTCGAGAAAACATCTGTAAAGAATACCAGAGGTTTATTTGTATAAATATTCCCAGCTATTTGTTAAGCAATAATACTGTGGAGTTTTATTTTATTTCACCTCTAAAAATAAACTTGTGATTAAAAACACATTGGATCTAAACAGTAGTGCTTATTGATGGTCTCATGAATTATATAAATAAATGGATTGCGCAAAAGTTGGATTGTAAAGTTTAAGCAAGTTTCTTGGCCATCAGCAATGATAACAAAAAGTTTGTGAATTATCAACTAAGTAGAAAGTACCTTTTATTACACTTATTGGCCATAAAAAAAAAAAAAAATACCCATTAAAAAAAATCAGAAAACATGACTGAGTTACCTCCCTTTAAAGCATGTAAAACAATTTAACAGATTTTATTTAAACTGATTGAACACATACACAAATTTTATTTTTATATATTTATATTTATATATATATATATATATATATATATATATATATATATATATATATATATATATATATATATATATATATATATATTATATTTACATTTGCATAATTGATTATATATATATCAATATATATATAAATATATATATATATATAATATTAGGGAATCAAAGCCAGCAACAGCAGATATACAGAACTGTGAGAATGCTATTTTTTTTTGGGGGATTAATAAATATACAATATATATATATATATATATATATATATATATATATATATATATATAAACACACACTCACACAGACAACCTAATATCTTATATAGTGTTCAAAAAATGGATTGCTGCTAAATTCACAGACTTTCTTGGTGGGAATGAACAATACACGATTGCAAAATACACACATGCTGGTAATTTATATTATCTCATATTTGCAACCATTTACTGGAAATTTATCAGCCCTTCAAAGGTAGCAGAGACAGATTGTGGAATAAATGATAAGTACAAATCTTTGTTGAAGGCCTTGCTTCCATCTTAATTATAATTCATCTCATTGAATTTATATGAATGTAATCCAATCAGAATTAAATGCTGACGTAATCTCGCCTGCTACAAGACATCCAACAACGAAAGAGAACTAAACAGAAATGCCCTCCTCAATGGTTAAAAGTCTTTAATCAAAAAGAAAAAAACTAAGTGAAATGAATCTGAAACAGTGAATATTTTGTATGAAAATGCATCTTTCTAATTAATTTTTATGTTATTCAAAAGAATATATCCTTTGTTTCTTCCCAAAATTAATTTATGTTTTAAGTGCAATGCTAAAATACTTACGTTGTGCATATTTTGACAAACTTGGACCTTCATACCTGCAATAAGATGGAGTGTGAAAAGGGCGTTTTTCTTGCCTTGACTCTGGTATTATTTTAACTATCTTCACTCCTTGACAATGTCTATTGTTATAAAAAGTGATGATTAGAATTTTAATAATACCTAAACATATGATAGCAAATTTATACATGATTTTTATTCTTGAGAAGTGATGACAAAAATAATAAAAACTATTTAATTATTAGATTGTTTATTGGAATGGTTGGCAGAACATTGGCTAATTGCCAATTGATTCAAACTTTATAAAATGGTAAATAATAAGGATTTCCTTTATAGTTGCTTCACATATTTTAATAATTTACTAAATGTTTTGTAAATTTGTTTTCACATTATAAATTGGTAAATGATAAATATTGCATTAGTTTTTAGGATGTTGTAAATAATCAACAATCTACTAATAGTGTTTAATATTTTTGTTGTAAATTCTTAAGAACAAAAATATATAAATTCACTTTCATCATATGTTTAGGTTTTATTCCAATTCTAATCATTGCCATAAGTGAAGGTAGTTAAAATAATAGCAGTGTCAATGGAAAAACTGTCCTTTTGACAGTCTGTTTTTTGTGGGTGCAAAGGTCTAAGTTTGTCCATATTTTTTATGCAAGTCATGAGCCTTTTTTGTTAGATCATAACATTCATAGTTTTTAAAGTATGGAAGCCTAAAAAGAACAATTTTTTTTAGAAACAGTAAAGTTTCAGTTTTTTTCTTCTTCCTGTAACTAAGAACTCAATTTACTCTACAAAAAAAAAAAAAAAAAAAAAAAAAGATAAAATAAACCAAAGTTACTATTTTCAGAAAAAGAAAAAAAAATTTTTTTTTTTTTCTTTTTAAGCTTCTGCATTTTAACACATTTGCTTAAAGACAGACTCTTCTTTCGTCAGGGTCCTATTTTACATCTGCAGTGATAAATATGGAGACAAACTCAGGGTCCAGTTTGGCAAAGACATAAATTGTATATAGAACCTCCACTTTATAGCCACTTATCTTGCTCCCACTTTAAACATATCTTTTTCTCAAAATGAAAAGAAAAGAAAAAAAAATTTCCAAAACAAATGAAGATCATATTCGAACAGAACAGGACAAAATGAATAAGAAAAACATCTTCATACAAAAATCCAAGACTTCAGTTTAATAAATTTTAACTGAAAATAAATGCTGGGAAGGGGGGGGGGCAGAGGTGGGGGATTGCTATTATAGCATTTTTTTCTTTTACTTATTAATAAAACCTATTAATAAGTCAAGGTGTAAATACCATATCTGAAATACATACGAGTGTCTATGTTGTAAAAGAGACCAAAAAAAACATGAGCTATTTTTTGTAACACTGCACAGGCTACTTCCTTTTTTTTTTTTTTTTTTTTTTAATTGTCCACAAAAATTTTTTTCTTTTTTTCTTTCTTTCCACTAAGGACATACATAATATGCCTTTTCTTAAGAGGGTCTTCAGCGACCACAAGGCTTAGGCACCATCGCAAAACTTAAAATATAGTTACACACGCCTTTTGTTATACATTCATGTCATAAAATCGACCCCCCTCCCGTTTACGGTCATGCACACATTACCAATCTGACAAATTTCTCAACCAAAGACAGACATACACAGCTTCATCCATCAGGTACCTCCTCAAGGCCCTCACTGTGACACAAAGAGAATGCAAAGACAGAAAAACAAAAAATACAAGGGACACAAATTCCCTTTTTTTTTTTTTTTATCTTTACCAGTTTGGTTTTCTTTTAATAAGAAATGACATATTTCTGCTAGGTAAGAAAGAGTTTCAAGTGTATGTATGTGTAAATATATATTACATTTATGTGTGTGTGTGTGTGGCTGTATATGTGCGTGCGTGTCTATGTGGCTGTATATATATATGTGTGCGTGTGTGTGTCTATATGGCTGTATATGTGTGTGTGTGTATATATATATATTACATTGTGTGTGTGTGGCTGTATATGTGTGTGTGTCTCTATGTTTCTGTATATGTGTGTGTGTGTGTGTCTATGTTTCTGTATATGTGTGTGTGTGTGTATGTGGCTGTATATGTGTGTGTGTGTGTGTGTGTGCTGTATATGTGTGTGTGTGTGTGTGTATATATATATATATATATATATAAAAACACACACACTCTTCATCTTTCAAAATCATGTGTGTCTGTGTGAGTGATCTGCCATCATTCTGCCTCAACATTGGAGGAAATAAAGGCAGGTTTATCACTATAGCAACAACAGTTTCAAGAACATCCTAATAAAAAAAAAGAGGGAAGATGGGGAGGGCAGAAGAGGTGAAAATGGAAGAGAAATAAGATATTCACAGAGACTTTTTTTTTTTTTTTTTGGGAAAGAAACGACAATCTTTGATAACATCAAAGCTTTGGTATTTTTTTCTTTTCATGCAGTGGTCTGTTTATATTTCACCAATGTTCATAAAATTTCCCGAATTACCGCCGCCTACCTCGTATTTTTCTTAGGTGTGCTTCTTTAAGAGTTGGGCTACAAGAGTAAAGGGTAAGGGTCACGGTGGAGGAAGTGGGGGAGATGGGCAGTTGGTGGGGATATAATGTCATTCGTTCTCATCATCTCTTCGCTGTGCGGCTGTGGATGTTGAAGCAACTGATTGTGTTGAAGGTGAAGCTGCTTCATCCTCATTGTAGTCTTTCACTATACGGCTCATCTGTTGGTTGTAGAGCTGTTGCCGAAGGTAGATCTTCAGAAAACCTTTGATAATGATAAATGCAACACCTCCCTGCAAATAGACAAACCAATGAAAATAAAATATTACAACCGAAGCATTCATACAAATTAGTTGTCAATCACATTGAAAAGATCATGTTTCAAATTTAGTTGACAGTCGACAAGAGAAATGTATGGCTTGTTCAAGTGGCTGCCCCTTTGAGGCAAAACAACATATAAAATGATGGAACAATAAATAACCAAAGTGGTCGATAGTCATTAAATCGAGAGTTTATGCAGCATAGGAGATAGATAGCATTGAAAATCATTTGGTTATGTTATTCACTTTGATGTGTAGCTTCCACATAAGAAAAAAAAATCTACTGGATGGTATTGGGTTGTCCATAAAGTTCATGCTGATTTTTAAGGGAAATTAAATACAAAACAAAATTATGCCATTAAATATTTATTCAACTAAATACGAACCATTTTGTTGCACAACCTTTCTCTATTTTTTCTTCAACTTAAAGATTCCATCTTCTCAGAATTTTGGTGGTTTCTTGGCAAAGAACTCATTAATATGTTTTTTTGTCAAAGAATTAAGATTTTTACCACTGAGATTATTTTGCAAGGACCTAAATAAATGAAAATCCAAAAGAGCAATGTCCAGTGATGGGGGGGGGGGGAAGGGGGGGGGGGGAAGGGGGGGGGGGAAACACATCTCAGTCACAGCTGCAACAATTTTTGCTGGGTCGCCAAAGAGACACGAGATTTGCATTATCATGATGGAAAACAACACCCTTCTTGTTCACCAATTCTGGGCATTTTTCTTGAATTGCTGCCTTTAATTCATCCAGTTACCAGCAGTACTTTCCAGAATCAATTGACTGGTTACTTGGCAGAAGCTCATAGTACAGGATTCCTTTCCAATCCCACCAGATGCACAGCATGACTTTCTTAGGATGAAGATCTGCTTTTGTGGTAGCTAAAGTTGACTCGTGTTGCTTAACCCAGGATCTTTTTAACCTTGAACATAGTTGTAAGTGATCCTCTGCTTTTGTGGTGGCTAAAGTTGACTCGTGTTGCTTACCCCAGGATCTTTTTACCTTGAACATAGTTGTAAATGATCCATTTCTCATCATCTGTTATAATTTGCTTCAAAAAGGGTGCATTTTCATTGTGTTTATACAGCAAATTATAGATGTAATATGATCCAAAAGACTATTTTCAATCAGATTATGTGGTACCCAAACACTGGAGTGATTTGAGTTCCCAAGCTTCACTAAGTGCTCTTGATGGATTTCGATAAGTTTAGTGTTTCTGCCAATTCCTGCATTGTGTAATGCGGGTTATTCTCAATGTCTTGATTTGGTCGTTATCTAGGGGGGGGGCTGCCTGAGTGTTCTTCATCAATAAGGCTACAATCACCAGTTCTAAACTTAGCAAATACATTTGTCAGCTAAAGCACTTTCACCTTACACAGCATATTTTTTTTTTGTTGCTTGTGAGGCATTTTTGCCTTTATGGTTTAAAAAAAAAAAAAAAAAAAAAAGCATCAAGTGTCTAAAATGCATCTTATAATCTTCCATTTTCATAGGGATGCAAAATAGACACGAATTAAGTAATTTTTTTATTTTTTTTTCTCAAGGGATAGTTTGAAGTGTGCTCTAATTGGAAATGTAAACATATTATATCTGTCGATAAATTCAACGTGTTGGAACATGAACGACTATAAATCAGCACAAACTTTCTGGACAACTCAATACAGGAGGTCCTCGACTTGCATCGAAGATCCATTCCTACAGCACAACATAACCTGATTTTCAATGTAGGTCAGAACTCACCTCCATAAGCACCCATGAGTCTGCCTTACACTTGGGTGGCCATAATAAAGGGCAAAAAGACGCCCCCCCCCGAATGACACAAACAAGAGATAGGAAATGTAGCACAATCTAATATGGTATAAAGTCAGTGACGAAACAATGCCGTCTTCCACATATAGCACCATATGATGATGGGAGATGATGCCATAACCACGAAACATTGTACATTGGGTCCAACGTAGCCTGATGACCTTCTGTATTTATATGTAATTCACTAACAAAACAAAAAAATTTTCTCTCTTAAAAAAAAATACTGATAATCAATGAAAAATAGATACTTTACAACAAGAGTATGCAGAGGGTGATGAACTATGACTAAGCATTCCAAAGCCGGTCATCAGCCAAAGAAAGTGAGGTACTAGTGAAATAGAATGGTCCGCTCATAAAAAATAGGGGAAAATAATTTTAGAAAATATTTTTGCAGATTAGAATTCTTTCTGACTCCTTTGTCAACTCGAAAAATATTGAGGGGGGGGGGGCTGTTCATAATACAGATACCAATGTGAAATTGATCCCCAAGTTTTACAGTTATCGGAAATTAGCTGTTTGCAAATGTCAAGTTTGATACTGTGATTACATCATTGATATCTGCATACAAAAACAGACTTTTATTTTACAAAAATAATTTTTAAATGAAAAACCGATATGTACATTTTTTTTTTTTAAAGAAATTATTTGAAACAAGCAATTGTTTGGCAAAAAATATTTTTCCCATTTTCATTTTTACAAAGAGATTTTTTTGGTTTATTAATAAACAGACAGACATATGCATAATTAACAGATAGACATATGCATAATTATGTGGCACTACTTGAGTAATGAATAAAATTTCAATAAATTAACAAAAGTATAAAAAAAATAAGCCAACAGCAATGAGGTAAACACATTTTCAAGGCATAACATTTGTAAATAAAAACAAAGCTCAGATAACTCTGTAAAAGTCAGGGATCGATTTGACACTGCATTGATATTATGAACAGAAATCCCACTTCTAAATCAATAAAAATATCAATATTTTTTTAAAATTCTGACAAGCGTTGCAGCTTCAGGAAGGCCTAAAGAATGCTAATTTGCAAACATTATTGCCTATTTTATTTTACGAGTGAACAATTCTATTTAGGTAGTGCCAAAAGTAATGCTTTGGACAGGGTGGGATAGAAATCTTACAATGAGTACCTTTTGAATAAGCAATTGATTGATTCAAACAAGTACTGTTCCCAACTAGATAAAAATGAAGTGTCCAGATTTAGTCAAGATGAAGCATCTAAGATTTCATCAAGACAACAACCAGGTAAAACTGGTCGCAGCTTTTGGCTGGGAAGTCTTCATTCAGCCACCATATTCAACAAATATTGGTTATCTTTACATTGTCTTAAAAATAAATTAAAAAATTAAATGCCGTAGAAGACTGCAAAAGGCACCTAGATCAAGTCTCTAAAATTCTGAGATGGAACTCGTATTAAGTTTCATGAAAGATGGCAGACCAGAGCATCCCCTGTAACAATCAAGCCTTTAAACGGTGATCAGTTGATGATTTGTAAACATTTTCAACAATCTGGACATCATTCGTTTATGATTTGAGTCTAAATTGTTAATTGGCAATTATAGGATTCGAGAGGTTACACTGGTTGTTATTAATTATTTCACCCCAAGCAAGGCAACAAAGCCACTGAGACACAAGACAAGACCACTCTTGCTCTGATAAACCCGTCATTCCATCGACGGAGGGGTGGACCACTCTTGCTCTGATAAACCCGTCATTCCATCGACGGAGGGGTGGACCACTCTTGCTCTGATAAACCCGTCATTCCATCGACGGAGGGGTGGACCACTTGTTTGATAAACCCGCCATTCCATCGACGGAGGGTGGACCACTTTTGACCATTCCATCTTGCTCTGATAAACCCGTCATTCCATCGACGGAGGGGTGGACCACTCTTGCTCTGATAAACCCGTCATTCCATCGACGGAGGGGTGGACCACTCTTGCTCTGATAAACCCGTCATTCCATCGACGGAGGGGTGGACCACGGGTCATTGCGGAGGGGTCTGATAAACCCGTCATTCCATCAACGGAGGGGTGGACCATTTTGTTTGATTGTATTTGATAAACCCGTCATTCCATCGACGGAGGGGTGGACCACACTTGCTCTGATAAACCCGTCATTCCATCGACGGAGGGGTGGACCACACTTGCTCTGATAAACCCGTGATTCCACCCACGGAGCGGTGGATCACTATTGCTCTGATAAACCCGTCATTCCATCCACGGAGAGGTGGACCACTCTTGCTCTGATAAACCCATCATTCCATCCACGGAAAGGTAGACGACTCTTGTTCTGCTAAATCGGTTATTCCATCCTTTTCTATGCTTTCGGATATTTCATATAGTTTAATAATCACCTGTTTTATCCACCTTTGCATTTGTTTCTTTCCACTGAACTAGAGTATGCAACATTTTCAGCACATTTCCCAATCCCAGGATTGAACTCACAATTGCCAGAGATGCACATACATTTTAAACCAACACTTTAATTCACGAAGATATGTGCCTTTTTGACAGGATGACAGCAGGCACCTGAAGGAGGCTGCCTGGAAGATACAACAGCTGAAACATTCTGAGCATAACATCTAAGACGGTTGCATACTGGTCCAAATAGCCAAGCATAAAATAACGACTATTCCTCATCTCCAAAATTCCAACTTACCAAAAGTGTCCGCTGAAAGTTTGACTGTACAGAGCCAAAGGCAATCTTTCCGACAGAAGTAGCAATTGTGGGCAGCACAAGGGCCCCACACATGACTCGAGTGGCTGACAGGGAATTTGTCTGGTCAGTGCGACCTTCAACTGGAATTGTGTCTCGTGGCCATTCTGGTGAAATAGAGGAAAAAAAAAAAAATCTATCATGCATGCGATAAGAACAGATAGAGTTACGAAGATGAAATTAAAAAATTAATGAGGTTTATTGACACATTAATACCCAGCATAAGATTAATACCCAGTGTTAATCAAAGGTCTATAAAAGAAATTTATGGTATTAAATTAAATAAAAAAAAGTAAAAGAAATGTTTAATTAAAAAGGTATCTAAAAGCTTTTAATAATCTTTTTGGTATTAAATTATAGGTATCTAAAAATGTCTGCTTTTAATAGCATCTCTAAAAGAAATGTTTGGTATTAAAATAGGTATCTAAAAATGTCTGCTTTTAATAGCATCTCAAAAGAAATGTTTGGTATTAAATTATAGGTATCTAAAAATGCTTCTGCTTTTAAAAGAGATGTTTGGTATTAAATTATAAAAAAATGTCTGCTTTTTAATAGAATTCAAAAAAGAAATGTTTGGTATTAAATTATAGGTATCTAAAAATGTCTGCTTTTAATAGAATCTCAAAAAGAAATGTTTGGTATTAAATTATAGGTATCTAAAAATGTCTGCTTTTAATAGCATCTCGAAAAAGAAATGTTTGGTATTAAATTATAGGTATCTAAAAATGTCTGCTTTTAATAGCATCTCGAAAAGAAATGTTTGGTATTAAATTGTAAAATTCTGCTTTTAATAGCATTCGAAAAAGAAAAATTATAGGTATCTAAAAATGTCAGCTTTTAATAGCATCTCAAAAAGAAATGTTTGGTATTAAATTATAGGTATCTAAAATGTCTGCTTTTAATAGCATCTCAAAAAGAAATGTTTGGTATTAAATTATAATCTAAAAATATCTGCTTTTAATAGCATCGAAAAAAATGTTTGGTATTAAATTATAGGTATCTAAAATGTCTGCTTTTTAATAGCATCTAAAAAAGAAATGTTTGGTATTAAATTAAATTAAAATGTCTGCTTTTAATCGAAAAGAAATGTTTGGTAGGTATCTAAAAATGTCTGCTTTTAATAGCATCTCTAAAAGAAATGTTTGGTATTAAATTAAGGTATTAAAAATATCTGCTTTTTTAATAGTATATCTAAAAAAGAAATGTTTGGTATTACATTATAGGTATCTAAAAATGTCTGCTTTTAATAGCATCTCGAAAAAGAAATGTTTGGTATTAATTATAACTCATTAATGCCCACCATCATAAAAATGTGGCAATAAGAAATTATTGGGTTAAGCTTAGTATGGTACAAGGTCATAATTTTGGGGCATTTAGTGATTATGCTACCATGGTTTATAATAAGTAATAATAATTGTGTATAATAATGAACTTCTATTATTTTATCTCTGCACATTTTTGTATTCAAATGGTTTTTGATTTCTTAAACTTTCAGGCCAGTCGATGAAAAGATCCTAAATAAACGGAATGTCTACTCAAATAGAAGTATTCACTAAAAATAATGTTTAAATTGATAAAAAAAATCTGTCAAATTAATAAAAATCCATTACTTTTTAAAATATATATATATATATATATATAAAAAGGGTGACCGCAAACATTGGCCTTGAAATAGATACCCTACCCAACCTTAGCAAAACCTCTCAGATGATGAATCTATTGATAGGAATTAACTCTCTGACCACTTAACGAAGAAAAATAGTCTAGCCACTCCCACAATAACGAATTTTGTAACGGACCATGCCTAAAAACACACGTAAACCGAAAGAGAGCTTATTCCTAAAATTTCACTTGAAGATGAAATGGGACTAAACACCTCAATTCAATAATTATTTGGATGATTTCGGCTCTCGTTTTTGAAACATGAGAACTCTTATGTAGCGAAGGAATCATATTTTTAAACAAAAAATATTATTATAATATAAGCTCTACTTCTGTATGGAGCACTGTCTTCTTAAAAATAAAAACAAAAATACTAAGGAACTCCAGATTATACACCTAACGTGTTCTTTTCTATTTTCTGCATACCTGCGCACTTATATATATATATATAAAAAAAAAGTTGCAAATTAAAAAAATAATAATGTTTTTTTATGAAAGTATTTATTTATATTTGATATTTCAGATTGACCTCAATCTTTCTTCAGAAATAACTGTTTTTAGAGGTTTGTTTACAAGTAGCATCCGTCGCGAGATGCAGACGTCACGTGATGTGGAACGCTACTGTGTTCGAATATTTTTAACGTAAATCTAACTGTAATAATATTTTGGATGTTGTTTAAAAAAAAATTTTTTTAACTATATCTAAAAAAAATGTTTAACTCTTGAAATATTTATAAAGATTTAAAATACCCATGTCTTTATTTAAGCCTAGTTTATATGTATTTAATTTTCAAATCCAGTATTTTTTTTTTTTTTCTGCGTGGGTATGTGGAACTGAAATCAGAATCTATCAATAAACATTTACAGTTTTCTAATGAGTGTCCTGATTGATTAAAGTGTTCAGCTATGGGGGAATAAGGATTGTTTTGATAGCTGGCCACTCGTACTCAAGGATACCTGTTTACTAGGGCAGCTAGCCAATCCCTATTTATGTTTTGTTCAACACCCACAAAGCCCACCTGTGGTTTATGCTGCAAATATGCTGGGCAAACCTTAGTTACAGTTACTGGGAGAGGGTGCGTTATCTAGCATGATTAACAATCTGAACAAGGCCAGCACACTCAAATCCTCTGTCACAATGACTTGTGACTTTGTGCTAGCACAACTATCGATGATATATATATATATGTGTGTGTATCCTATATTAAGAATTTTGATAGATGTACAACGAAACACTTAATATAACAAACCTAAGTGTGTGACACTATTTAGTTATGGTAATTAGCTAAATAATTAACCATAGAAATTAAAACAAGAAATACTGAAGGCGGAAAGAAGTTATCCAGTTCAATGTTAAAAAGATTTGATTTTATTTACAAAAAAGTTGCTTTTCACAAAAGACAGTAAACCCGCCATATTTTTCAAAAATCTATTCCTGGTAATATTTTTTTCCTTCAAAAATCTATTTCTGGTAATATTTTTTTCCTTCAAAAATGTATCACTGGTAATTTTTTTTCAAAAATGTATTGCTGGTAATAATTTTTTTTTACAAAGTATTTCTGGTATTAAAAACTATTTTTACACTTTCATAGTATTTTGACCCCAGTTTAGGCTGCTCTTAAGAGACAAACGCATGCACAAATATTGCATTTCAATTTCCATTGGATATCTGCAGGCGCACCGTGATTATGTCTTGCTTCAATGTGACTGAGTCGACTCAGTACTTTCTGAGCGACTGTTCGGTTGAACTCTCTTCCTACGGACGGGAGGAACCCGAAGGAGGCTACGCCAAAGGACGGAGTCTCCTTCGGGGAGGTAGACCGGCCCTGAACCCGTTTATACGGGTTCAATGGGCATATTTTTGGCCGAGCCAAGTTTCATGCTCTCAGGACCATTGAGGACATGCACTTGTGTTCAAGAAGGAGCTCCACCAGAGGGACTGGCTAGCCAAACATCCTCCACACCATCGCTCAGTACCATGCTCACTGGTTCAGTCAAATCCTGATAACCCCATTACCAGTCATTCACCAGTTTGACACGGCTACTGGAAAGACGTTGTCAGCCAGAACCTCCAGCAGATTAATCTGAAAAGTCTCCATTCCCCTGTGGTCATTCCAAGAAAATCCCCATTACCCTGTGGTCAATCCAAGAAGTAAACAATTTATAAGTTTTACTTAATGTTTCTAAATTATAAGACAAGTAATGCCAACAATTCATAAACGCCAAAGAAAAGCAGTAAAATTTGTGAAAAAGTAAAAATTCTTGACTTAATAGAAAAAGAAAAAAAAAAATTGTATGTTGATCTTACTACAGTAAGAATTAACTTTTACTGTAGTATATTATAATTTGTCAGTCTTGAGAGGCCACGGTTCTGTGCCTGAATTGTTATGCCCTCACCAGGGTATAACTCCGAGACTAGTTGCCACTCAACGCTATAGAACCCAATCTGTCCTGACTGTCTTGACTGTAATTCAAACATGGCTCCCAATTTATCAATTGGAGCCACAATCCATTACCCAATTGTGTGTCCGTATTGTCATAATTGTTCTATTTCATTATTAGTTAGTGTTGTGAATCATTTATTCTGCTTAAGATCTACAGTAAAAACTAATCTCCTACCCATCACATATCGTTTCTAACAGTGTATTGTTCAAATCCTTCTTTTTTTATTAGTACTTCTTAATCTTTTGAGCCTAATTTATAAATTATAATTTTGTAATAGAGAAAAGAATTATATGGACGCAGAAGGCAATTATCTCTCCTTCTTAAAGGAGGAACATCTATTTTATTAATATTTGTTGTTAATCTCTTATCGGGTCTAATTTATAAACTTGTAGAAGAGAAGAAATGAACAGACAGAACAAGAAACTCTGGACCGGGTGCATCTTGTATGGTTGGAAAGAACAGTAAAATTCCTTTTGTTTGAGACTCTAAAATATACACAGTTTGATTGAGAGAGAATAATCTTTACATACATTTGCTATTCCTTGTTTGTAGTTTCAGTTATAGACACAGCCATCTTCAGAAATAAACAATTCCAAATTTCACACTTAAAGTACAAGAATAATGCTACTTGGAATTCAGATTTGCCAAAGAGAAGCTTGGAATGAAAAAAATGAAGTTCTTCACTTAATAAGGAAAGAAAATACATTCACAGAAAACAAGTGGTATCCTGTCCAAGCCAAGAAGAATTCATTGCAACCTTCTCCACCTATAAAACAACTAAAAGAAGAAAAGACTGCACATATAACAAGTATCAAATATCATTTACTAGTTTACTTACACCATTAAAAACTCAACAACAATATTTTAATTAATTTGGCAATTGATTTGCTTATATATTCTGCACGGCAGACATGGTGGAGTAATGGATAGCGGCTCGGATTGAGGAATTGGAGAGCCGAGTTCAAATTCCAGTCAAATCTATTACATTCATTTACATGCTAATACCCTTGGGAAAGGTATGAATCCTCTTCTTCTCCCTCCAGCTATGGGTAAAATAGCAGGACAGACTGGGTTCTATAGCCTTGGATGGCAACTGGTCTACTGCAGAAAGAAATGGCAACCTACTGTGGGGGAAAAATCTGCCTCGTCAATCATATATCAAAAGATACATGATCGCCTAAGCGTGTATCCCATATGGCACCTAACTGACTGATATATTCTGCAGGAGTAATTTAACAGTTTTATCTACGCACTTAACTCTGTGGTTGCATGTAAGAAAGTATTCTGCTTTTTAAAATTTTATGCTGAGGTTGTTACACGAAGAAGGAATCTATTGATCGCAAGTTCTATTAGAGTGTTCTGTTATAATTGTTCTATTTTATTATTAGTCATTGTTAATACCTTATTGTTCCCAATTTATAAATTGTACTTTTGTAGAAGAGAAATGAATTGTGAAGATGCAGAAAGCAATTGTCTCCCTTTTTACAGGATGACATCCTAAAGTGATGTGACAGCTCATAAGTGAATTGTCTCCCTTTTTACAGGATGAGTTTACTCACATCCTGAAGTCATGTGACAGTTCGTGAGTGACAATACCCAGTTGATGATGAGCTCCGGACAGAGACAGATGTGCAGGCCAACAGTGGTCAAGATGATGAACAAAAGCCGTGCATCCGAAATAAGGAAGATAAAAATATCACCTAAACTGGTCAAATCCCACCGAAGGAAATTACAATGAAGACCTTTATATTCATCCTTTCATATATCTGTTCATAATTACATAATTACAAACAATTACATATAATTTCTCTGTGTGGGACAATATATGATGAATATATGTTTATGTATAACATACTGTATGACATCATTTCTCAACTTGGTATCTATTTACTCCTGTCTTTTAATAGGAAGCCTGATCAGTTTGAGAAGGTCAGATTGGCAGCTGGTCTTAAAAGTGACCGAAAATCTACTGTTAACTGACACAGGGAATGGTTCGTTAATTTTAAAAAGCAAAACTGCTTTCTATTAATCATCTGAGAGACCCTTTTCTGCTTTCGATCGGCATGGCTGATGCTAACCTTGACGCGAGCGACTCATTGCGCCTTCTCAGACTAATGTTTTCCACAAACATGAAGTGGAAAGAGTATATTGAATCTATTGCTATATCTGCTGCAAAGAAAGTTGGTTCCCTGTGTCATGCTAGACAATTTTTCTTGCTAGACTATCTGACATTGATAGTTTTGGTGAACCTATGTCATGTCATTTTATATATATATATATATATATATATTATAATACTGTATACAAATGTTTTCAGACCCAGTCTTTTCTTTCATCATGTATTAATGTCAATATATTTTAGGAAAATCTATGACAAAGTCCAAAAAATTTTAGTGAGAAGCAGTTTGTCTTTTAGGACTTGGTACGATTAAAGTGATGTTTACATTGATGTGACTACACGTGTACACAAAGGAGAGGGAACACTCAAAATTTTTTAATTCACAGATATACTGATGCCTAATGTGGGCCTTGGAGAGTGAAGAAAGACCAAGATATTTATTTTCTCTTTCTAAGCAACCTTTTTAGAACCAACAGGGCAAGAATATCTGGGTTGGGTGCATCGTATGGTGAGGTGGAATTGTTTTTCTCTAGTTGGGTTGTCTTCTTGATGATTTGGCTGTTTGGAGAAATCGTGACTGATTAGCACAGGCAGCATTTTTGGCACATTTGAATAGCAGTGATTGTGCTAATTTGCATGCCTTGAATATGTGGGACGACTTTAGTAACTGAACAGGGAGTGCGGACACTGGTGTTATCATTATCCCAGTCTTGCTGATAGTGGTATGCACATAGACAGCAGTAGTAAACTTAGTGAAGAGCTCTTCTAGTGTAAACAATTGAAAAACAAAAGCTTTATCATAAGCATTTTTGTATAAGGGAAAAAAAATAAACATTTAGGGTCCAGAATTATCCACAGTTTCAATCTCCTATTGTGAGGTGGGCGATCATAGAACATAATCTTCTCAAATAAACAGGGGGTGCTGTACGCATTCTGACTGCTAGAGTAGAGGAAGATCGTGGTGTGCCAATATTCCAGATGGAGAAAATGTATTTGCCTTAAAAGATTTGTACTTGAAGTCTTTGCTTTCCACTAGCTTGAACATGGGCTAGTGGTGAGTGCTAGAGACAAAACAAAAATAGTGGTGAGTGCTAGAGACAAAACAAAAATAGTGGTGAGTGCTAGAGACAAAACAAAAATAGTGGTGAGTGCTAGAGACAAAACAAAAATAGTGGTGAGTGCTAGAGACAAAACAAAAATAGTGGTGAGTGCTAGAGACAAAACAAAAATAGTGGTGAGTGCTAGAGACAAAACAAAAAAAAACAAAAATAAAAAAAAAAATGTTACCAAATAAAACTTGAATAGTGGTGAGTGCTATATAAACCAAAAAAACAAAAATCCAAATATTAATAAGCTATATGAATCAAAATATTAAATCAAGAATTATGAAATCCAAATATTAATCTATATGAAATCCAAATATTAATCTATATGAAATCCAAATATTAATCTATATGAAACAATCTTATTTCTGTTTGCGTGTTGCAATCACAGCAAAAGCAGCACAATTTTTATTAGCACAACACTGTTAACAAACTTGGATCATTAATTTCCAGTCCAATTTGCAAAATAATTCCGTGTAGTCTGTAATGACAAGAATGATTCAATTCCTCAAAGGGAGATAACTTCAGGTATATTAAATTTTATTTAGAGACGTTTCCCTTATTTATTTACAAATAATCTATTCTATAAAATACAATATGACTTTACCATGTGTTGCATACATATATATATATATATATATATATATATATATATATATATATATAAATAAAACACAACATGGTTGAGAAATATGTTTATATGATTAACTGATGTGTGTGTGTGTGTGTCTGAAAGTGTGTGAGAGAGAGAGATGAACCATATGGTTCAGTTTGACTCCTTCCTTTTTATATGGCTTTATACAACACCATCTAGAAGGTGTTAAGAGAAGTTCCCTGACAGACAAGGTGGAATAACCTCAAAATAATGCATCATTATCTCCCCAATTTTATAAAAAGATATTCCATTGTTAGAGTAACACAAAGTATGAATAGATATCAATAAAGTACACAGGTTCAAAAAATATAACAGAATATCTCAGTAAATAGGAGATATCAAGTTCTACACTAGTTTTTTTTTTTTTTTTGGTTTCATGCTAGCTTCTTTTGGGTATTTTTTTCTATTAACCTTTTTGCAGGTTATTTAAACCCAGAAAATATTTTTAGATTTAAGAATTTTTTTTTGTGGGGGGGAGATAATGGTTTAGTGATACATGACTTACTAATTAATCTATAACTGGAGTTTGAAAAAGAAAATTTAAACAGAGAACAAATTTCAAAACAATGAAATTGAATAGGAGAAAAAAATCCTACAAGGTGTACAAATAAAACCAAAGAAATCCCGTAAGGTTTGCATACCTTGTGGGATCAAATATCCAGGATGGATTGATTCATTTGTTTCCTAATGATACAAGTCTTATTAATTAAGAGGTGGAGTCATACCTTTCCCGAGGCTATTTGTGTGTAGGTGTATATAACAAACCCAACTGGAATTGGAACTCTGCTCTTCAATTAACAATTCCAAGCCATTATCCATTACACTACCCAGACATCCAAGATTACAGTACCTGATATTCCTAAGTGAAATGGTCTTCACTTACTCAGAGCCATTTTTAACCATCGAAAGTGTATGCAGCTCAGATATTTCTGAATAGGTTTGGCGCCATGCATGGCATCCATATGAATATTTCTATTTGATAAAAGCTATTTAAGAACATGACTCAAATTTTCAGGTTACTGTTTTATTGGTTTTATAGCAGTTGTGGTGTTGGGTGACAGTAACTCTAGTGCAGTCTATTCTATATTCAATTTCCTTCTCTCCTGTACTGAATTTATTATGACAAGGTATGTGAAGGTAATGACCAGGCTTGGCATTACTTAACTTTAGTGATTGTATGGAAACCAGTGTTTCATCGTGATGTGGCTGTAAGCCCATGTGCAAAGTAGCCACAATAGAAATTATATATATATATATATATATATATATATATATATATATATATATATATAAGAATGGATTTTGCTTCAAGTTTAAAGGGTAATCTGTTCCTTCCTCTTTATAAATGTTCAGTTACTACAAGTTTTTCGACTCCCCCTTTGGTTGTAGCTTTTATATGTACTTTTTTTTATTCATGACCCCATTTTTCATCAAGAGATTTTTCACGACCCCCAGCTATTACCAATATATACATATGTTGTCACTGTACTTGTCACAAAGGTGCTGTACGTGTTTTAATACACATCACGTTAAATATCGTGCGTTTGTGAAATAACATATAAACTGAAATTCAAGTGTTTGAAATTAATTTTTACGACCCCAGCATTTTGCTTTGTGACCCCCCCCCCCGTTTAAGAAGCGCCGCTTTGAAGCATAAAGGATAAAACATACCTAAAATTGACTAATAATTCATGTTCTTGTTTTTTCTCCCTTTAAGCAAAGAATAATGAAGTTCATTCATGTCATAAAAATAATGAATTTGAATACAAATTACTTCTCTGATTTTTCTACTTGACACACATACTGAGAAAAAAAAGACATGACTAAGTAAAAGAAGTAAAGATTTTGTATAAATCCTAAACGATCGTTATGGATGTGCAAAGAGCTTGAAAGGAAACCAAAGATGCAAAATCTTATTCACTACAAACCTCCTTTCCAGAAGTAATTAAAGCGAGAAGCATGTTTGCGCCAAAGTTTCAAGACGTAATCTTCCCAGCGCACAAGTTTGCCACAAATAAGGGTCAGGGGAATGGCAGGAAGTCCAAACAGCAAGAATAAGGGGTCTGCTCGTTCCATCACGTTTAGTCCTTCTTTATGGCCCAGGACCTGGAAAATGACAAAAGTAATTGAAAAGAAAAATATACAATGTAAAAAAAAAAAAATAAATAAATAAAAATCACAGATAGCAGAATGAATAAAAGCCAAGAACCTTGTCTGACCATAAAAGATTCATGTAGCTTAGTGGTTAAGGAGATGTTGATTAAAAGGGGCCTATTTATTTGATTAGTTTCAGATTGGCTGAAAACTCAGTCATAAAACAAGGGAGAAAAAAAGGGATGAATACACGAGATGGGAAAGAGCAAGAGGAAAAAGTAAATAAGAAACTAGTCAAATCAACAGTAAAAATGTTCATTAATTGAATCTTAAAACATCTCTGGCCTCCAAATCTAGGATCAAAGTGTAATATCTGTTCCCGCTCCCCTGCCATATTCCAAAACCGTGGTGCAGGATGCATTTTGATGACTTAGTTTAAGGAGAGCTTGGTCTCAAAAATTCCAGCCCTGCAGCCACACTTTTCCTATAGCACTAAAGCTTAGATAAATACCGAATCCCAGAATCCTACTTCTTGTAAAATAACCGATTTACGGAACTAGCGGAACTTCCCCTACTATACATTTTGTTTAGGCCGAGAAGGATGTCCTGGCTCAAGTTACAGTTTTCTTTGTTTTAGCTTATATGACATATTCAGGGCTGCAGCCTGGTCACAGCACCAAATATGATGTCGTTCGGGCGGTCTGCTTCGGTCACCAGGGTCAATCTCGGTCTGCTCGCTTGGTCAGAATCAATCCTGGTATCAGAGAACAAGCCGTCAGCCCACACTCGTTGGTCGTTGATGGCGTTTGACACAGCAGCTGGTCTCTAAGTTGACCTCTTCAACTGTGACCTCTCTTATCCATGTTGTGATTTTGATCTTAAGAGGGTCAAGCCGAATTTCCACTGGGGTAACTTAACTACACTAGACCAAGGAGTTGAACACATGCATACAAAATTGAAAAATAAAATGAACGACGCCCGAATAAGTCATGATATGAAGTTTATATCAGAATAAAAAAAAATGTTTACAGTTCTTTCTTTGTTCTTTTTCTTCTTTTCCTAACCCACTCTAATAATTGGCGACAGAACAAAAATTGTGGGTGGCTTCTTTGAAGAATCTTCAAGTACTGTGATTTGTACTTTCATAAACGGCACAAGGTTTATTGTCTAAGTTTTTCTTCAGTGACAACTGGATTTAACTTTAAGTACTGTTGTTTGTACTTTCAAGGACGGCACAAGGTTTATTCATTGGAGTTTTTCTTCTTCAGCAGATAATTATTATTAATCTTATCATTAGGTTGGCAAGCAGCATTATATTAGAAATCTCTTTCTCCCAGTCACAACCTCACTCCGACTGCAAACGGCAGCTGCAACTGGCTGGCCCCAACTAACTTTGACCCATGTGGGCACTTGTATTTATGGGTGTCCCTTTCAACTGGTATGGTGAGAGCAAATAGGTGGGTTTTATGCAACTCTCCAAAAATTCAACCAGTCATTTTCTTTTTTGTTTTCTATTTTACATTTCCAATTTTGGAGGATACCCTCCTCCTTCGGGAGGAGTCATCATATGATGTCAGCCTTTCTGACGTCATCTCCTGCCTTTCTTCTGTTTACAATTATAATTTTTTTCACCCACTCCAACTAACGGACCCCAACTTTCTCTAAATCCAACTCCAACTCCTCCAGCTTAACAGACCCTAATTAACTTTGGTCCATGTGGGCACTTGTATTTAAATGTTATATTATGGAGTTATGCAGTAGTAAAGTAACAGTTATTGGCATGGTGAGTGAAATCAGCAAGCTGAGTTCAAATTCTGGTCCTGTCTGCTGAATTCACTTTTGCAATAAGGATTTTGGGAAAGGCATGAATCCATTCCTTCCTTGCCCACATCTATGTATTGAATAGCAGAGTAGGCTGGGCTCTCTAGAATTGGGTAGCAGTAAGACTTAAGGGAAGAAGTCTAAATTCCAAGCCAATGGAGAAGACAACAGGAAATGAAATCATACCATAATCTTTCCCAAGAAGTCATGGCAATTTAGATAACAAAAAAAAACCCTCATTCAGAAACCTTTATCAATGACATCTTGAAGGGACATGACATTAAATAAAAAAAAAAAAAAAAAAGGCAAATTACAGACTAATTTGTTATCGCTTTACAAGCTACCACTAATGTAATATCCCTTACTTGTCTAGCCTTGGATCAAGCAAGTTTTATTTATTTTTTTCCATTTCAATACTTTTAATCAAAAATTACTCAATACTTTTTGGGATAAAAAAATATTGGGACTGTTGCTATGGTAATAAAGCTAAAGCATGCAAAGTAAAGTGGCTCTCATGCATCTGTATAGCTGGCCACTCATATTCGAGGATACCAGTCTTGACTAGCCAATCCTCATTGCAGACGCTTGCTCAGGCACATTTGTGTTTATTCAACACTCACCTGTGGTTTATACTGCAACTATCCTGAGCAGACTTTAGTTACAGTTTCTGAGAAAGAGCGTATTATCTAGCGTGACCAACAATTTGAACAAGGCAAGCATGCTCAAGCCCTCAGCCATGATGACATGCAATTTCATGCTAGCACAGTTATCGACAGCTTTCAAGGGTTCTGTCTACTCAATTTCACTCACAAGACTTGGGTCAAACCATGGTATGGTTTTCAGGCAATTTCCAAAGGTGTTGTATATTGGGATCAACCCCTCCAGTCCAATAACATCATGAAATCTCCTACCCAACAAATCGACTATGGTGAGATTCGAACCCGGGTCTCATTGTCAGAATGCGAACGTTCTAACCATCTGGCCACGTGCCCATATATGCATATACACTAAGTTATAACATTCTCGCTCACTTCTGTTGTTTACTGCAGTGCCTGGAAGGAAAGTGTGTAGAGTGTAGTCGTCTCCCCACATCACAGAGGTTCCATCAGTGACCATGGCTTGTACAGCAGTTTTTGGCCAAGAACAACATTCTTCAAGTTCGACAACCACTATATTCTCAAGATTTTGCCCCTCACAACATTTACCTCTTCAAAAATCAAATCCCACTTGAAAGGAACAACATTTCAAGATGTCAAGAAAACCCAAGATGGTAGGGAGTAGTGAAAAAACATTTTTTTTTGAGTTGCTAGCCACACTTTTCAGGCATTGTTTGTATGATTGTAACGAACCCCTGTGAAAAATTTCAGGCCATTTCATGCCCACTTTCTCTGCAGCATCACGGTTAACTTTTTGTCAACTTTTACTCTACACCAGGAGTCAGCAACTCATTTGACCCCACGGGCCGGATCGTGTTATAATGACGGGTCGCGGGCCAGACGAAGGCCATTAATGAAAAATTAAGGAAAATTACATATGCAGACCCCTGTCAACCTAAATATTTAAAACCATAATGAAAATAAACATTGAGAAATCAGAAAAACAAAAGAAAATCTAAAATTAAAAAACACCTAACAAAAATTACTTTTCCTCAATGAACGTCAAAATACTTCAAAGTGAAAAAAATCAACCGAAGTGAAATGGATGAAATTATGATGTGTAGGTTTGAAACTGTTATTGAAAATTGTTCCACAAACGAACCACACACACACACACATCAAACAAAAACGAAGCACATATATCCATACATACAAGTACAAATAGTTGCAAACATATACACTTACGTACGTACACATGCGGTATCATCCACACATTCATGAGGCATGAATGTATAATGCGCGTATGTTTAACTGTCTTTAGATTTCTGCTACCTCGCATGTCAGTCCCTCCCTGGCCTCTTTCACTTTATTGTTCCTTTCGCTTCTGTTATCTTTTAATGTAGCCAAGGGTCATAACAAATATTTATCCATTATTTGACATTAAACGTAGGCAACGCAACCTGGTAAAATAAGTATCATGAAAGATAGTCTAATATTTTTAGTGCACTGAGATAACAGCAGGCCTTTTGTCGAATTCGAAAGCCACGTCTCTCATGTTAAAAATAGAGTCATTGGTAATCAGGCTCGCGGGCCAGTCAAAATGCCTTCGCGGGCCGGATCCGGCCTGCAGGTTGCTGACCCTTGCTCTACACCAAAAAATAGATGTCATTCATCGTTTGCCAGGATAATAATAAATTGTACATTGGTGACATCAGTTTAATTCCAATATTATTTAAGAGGGTACAACATATTAAATGTTTACAATAGTGAAATCTTTTTTGTGTGTGGAATCTGGGCATCATTTTCCTAGACAATAAACTTTGCCTAATATATCCATCTTTCGCTTTAAATCCAGTGACTTCAGTGCAAGCTTCAGTCATCACTTTTATTCCTCTTTCGACCGCCCGAGTACTGTTTGGCCACTCGGTCACTACTAATGGTGCCTCAAGAATGTCATTAAACTGTTGATTTGATAGAGAAGCAATGTAAGGAGGTTCAGTCTTGAGTTCATATGTCCAGTTAATGATAGCTTTTTTTTTTTTTTGGGCTTGCGACTTTAGTTTAGGAGTCACCAATTTTCTCAGATTGACAACAGAAGGTACATCCTTATTCCCATCTCCATCTTCACTGTCCTTATCATCCTTGTCAACAGGAGCAGCAGAATCTTCTTCCTCCTCATCAGATCTGTCAGTGCATTCTTCCATCTGCTGATTACCTTCTTTAATTTTTCTTATCATAGTTACGTCTTAATCTGCACACATATCAAGAAATTGATCCGTGTGGGCAAAGTATGCATTTCTATGGACAGTATTCTTCACTATAGTCTTACTATTCAAGTTTTCCATATAGAGAGGGATTGGAATATGAGCCAGGTGTTATGTAAGGGTACATCTTGATGTAGAACCACATTGGAACACTGAACTTTATAATTGTAATGATGATGCTCTTCAGCTTGTGGCTGGGTCTTGATGTTGCTATATACAGCCAGAGGATTCTACTCCATAAAGTATTCCACCTTGACATGCAGGGAGAACCTGGCTCAATAGCAGCCAAGTTATCATCAACACCTTTACATTTACAAATCCTATTCAGGTATTTCTGATCCCAAGACAGATCTTCATTCAGGACAGAGAAATCAGTGAAACTGACTGGCCGGAAGGCAACAACTCGCAGTTCAGACAAAGGTCCCTTGATCTGCTTTCCAATGAGACCACGCTCAGGACCATTTGGTTTACCATCATAGTGATAGAAAACAGCGCGGAAAGGCAGCTGATTTATCTGTGAAGCTGACAGATGAAATAATGGTGCAAGTGACTAAGGGACATTTCTTTAAGATGGTGAATGGCGCCATTTTCTCATCCTTCATTTACATTGGTTCCATCACTACAACACATGCAATGGGCTGCTGCGTTAGATCTTTCTCCATCAGAAATTTGTGAAGAGTTTTGGCAATCTGCTTTCTGTGTCCAGTCTTGGGAGTCACATGTGTGAGGTATTCATTGCCAGACCCAACCCTAATAACATAATGACCTTACACCATCATCCCCGAACTCCATTTATTGGTCTTCTCATTCTTTATTATCACCGAGTGGTAGTCTTCTTACCATCAAGATACAGTGACATCATTTTCAAAAATAACCAACCGAATTACTTGCCTCTTCAATTGGTATTTTTATCTCACATCTTGTAGTTTATGTGGTTCAATAATTTGACTCTTGTGATCCTTTGTGATAATGTCATAGTCAATTAAAGGAGCGTAGTAATGGCAGCACCAGCATAATCAAAAACCAAGTATCGGTCACAATGAGCAGTGTTGGGAGTCTTGTCTTGTCCTGTGAGCTGGTGTCAGTCAGAGCTTTTGGATTGGGGTCAAAATCAGAATAAGTATTGACAGGAAAGATATTCCTCGAATTATCCCCAACCTAAGGAATATATCCAGCTACCAGATCTCTATGTCTTTGATCAAGCTGTCTATTGGTTCTGTCCGCATCATGCTTCTCTCTTAGCGTCACTGTCCCACATCATTGACACTTTCGCGTTAGATCTTTCTCCACCAGAAATTTGTGAAGAGTTTTGGCAATCTGCTTTCTGTGTCCAGTCTTGGGAGTCACAGGTGTGAGGTATTCATTGCCAGACCCAACCCTAATAACATAATGACCTTACACCATCATCCCCGAACTTCATTTATTGGTCTTTTTTCTCAGTGTCACTGTACCACATCATTGACAGTTTCGTGTTAATCCTTGCAATTTTCATCTTCCTATCATCTCGCTGGTCAAGGAGGAATTGCAACTCATGTTTGGCAACTTTTCTATCACAGTTACATTCCAGGTGATATCTGTTAAGAAATTAACGTGGTAAAGATTATGAAGCGTGATTCTTAATCTTTACCACGTTAATTTCTTTCTAAAATTGTTCCCCCCCAGACACTGCATTATTTTTTTTTTTTTTTTTTTGAGGGTGAAAAATCATGAACACCTTCTGCTTTAAAATTGTTACAACTTTCTTTGTATTGTGCGCATAGATTTTAATTTTTGTACACTAATAAAAGAATGAATAATATTTTGATGTAATACATGACGTTTTGTATGCATAATTTGATGTTGAAAACCAAAAAAGTTGAAACTTGAAATAAAAAATGCAAAATAAAAAAAAATACATTAAAAAATAAATAAATAATTCAACATACTTTAACTTTTATTACTCCTTGTGGAGTTCTGGGGGTGCAATAAGAAGCAAAATTTCTAAGAAGGCTTTCATTTCATCAAAAAAGTGACATGTTTCCTCGTGTTTACATACAAGAAGACACTAACGTTTACTCTTTCTTTCTTCTGACTCATATTTGTCTCGTTGTCAAATAAAGTTATTATTTCGTCATTTATAAATTGACAAAATAATTCACCTTCAGAAAGGCTATCAGGTATATCGATGGTCGCCAGTAGCTTCCATAAAATTAGTCAGCCATGGATGATAGTAGCCTCTGGTTGTCATCATAGCTTTCCTCCACATCACTAGCATGGTTATCATCTTCAACCACTTCACCATCAATATCCACTCAAGTAAAGCCTTCAAAATCATCATCAGAGTCCTAATCAAAGAAAAACTCCCGAATAAAGTCTTTGTTAGATATTGATGTGGCCATTTTTGTTTACAAAAAAAATTGCGAAAAAATTAACATGGGTTTAATCAGTGTTGTACTTTGTGTAGAGTCTAGAAGAATTCAAAATGGTGTTGGAAAATGAAAATTTGACCTTCTTCCAAAGCAATAGTAGGTGATTTCCAGCTTAAAATACCGGAAATAACAGTTGACAAGTGTTTATATATAGCAACTGTCTAGAGGCGACAGAATGTACCTAGAGTAGCAAAGGGAGAGAACTCTATGGCGACTATTGTCACCTGCATTATGGTAAAGGTTTGCACTTCACATCCTGATAGGAGACAGGGAATATACAGATATCAAACAACTCCTTCAGTTCTTCTGGAAATATCGCATTTTTGCCCACATTCTTATTAACTTCAATTCCTCTACTACACAATTTTCTCAACCTTTTCTTAATAGTTTTCTGGCTAAGAAGAGGAACGTCTAATTGCTTTTTTCCCCATATTTCTGAACAATCCCAAGTGGCCATCTTGATAATCATTGAGACATTTGCAAACTTTCCTTCATTAAATTTATATTGCCAGTAGTTCTTTAACATCTCGCCTTTTGAGGGAAGTTTGTCCACTGGAAGAACACTGGCAGAGCCAAACAAGGCATGATCTGTGGCTGCCCTCATTAATACAGTAGCCATCTCAATAGCAAATTGACCAGTTAACCTGATAAAATAAAATTAGTGAATGAACAAAATTGATTATAAATATTGTACATTTATACAATGTACATTACACTGCACCAGCAGAAGTAAATTTTTAAATTTTCAGTTGCAAATGCTGCAGACTAAACCTCAGTCCATCAGCTTCAAATATGGCATGGAGTCTTAGATATGTATAAATCCATGAAGAGTGCAGCTTTGAGGAAAATTTCACTGCTCCCTAGTGATGTGGCAATTGCTTGCTATCTCAAAAAAAAAAAAAAAAAAAAAAAAAAAAATAAGAGAGAGAGAGAGAGACATTAGAATGCTTCCATCAATGGAAACGATGGTGAATAAAGTGTGTGGCTTCAGAATGGGGACTACTTTTGAACAAGAGTAAATGCCAAATTTTTGTGTGTTAATATCACAGAAACACTTTGGGGATTGTGCAATAGACTACAAGAAAGAAATTTCAGAGAAAACTATTGGGCATTTGGCCCATGACTGAAAAGAAATTACTCACTTGCATAACAGTGACAGCACCATACGTGACAGCCATCCAATACACTGATCCAATGAAGATACCACCAGCTAAAAATGGACACATCTTGTAAATAACTTTGTCCGTCATGTCCATGATATAGACCAGACGACCTGAAAAATTAGAAACATAAGAACAATGGAATTAGCCTTTTAACAAATTTTAAAAAATAAAGAGAAATCCTTAATATTTGCATAAAATCTGGCCTTAGGCAAAATGTGAAATCATATTTGTTTTTTTGTTAAGTAAAAAAAAGCTTGAATATATTCTATTTTCAATACAACTCACACTTGTACAATAAAAATTGTAACTTGTTAAGAAGAAAAAACTAACAAACTTTAAAGGAGACTCATTTTAGGGAACCAACTCTGAAAAATGGAGAAAAAAAAAGAAAAGAAAAAAAAGCTGTAAACAGATTGGACAAAAGCATCAGTACAGTGAGTGGGGAAACTGTACAAGAACGCATCAACAAGACACAGTTACGTACAGAAATTTTTACTGTATAATGTTCAATTAGCAAATCGTGCCTTTGTTTCCACAAAAAAAAAAAAAAAAAAAAAAAAACTATGTTTTTCTCTTGAAACTGCTCTGCTATTATTTTATATTCCTTCGACTCTCAGCTGTTGTGCCTTCCAGTCTTCAAGTATGTATCAATCTTGGTAACTTGTATGGAATTCCGAACCGAACCCTTTTTTTTCTTTTTTATCTACAAGATAGACTATCCTCATTCCACTGTTTCTAGAGTTATCTCGTCTAGTTCTTATTTTCAATACTGCTCAATTATTGCTTGCACTACCAGACAATAGCCCATTGAATTAAAGTGCTGGTTTGTGAGGTGACATGATAATTTTGAGTTCAATCCCTGGGCAAGGTAATGCAGACTCAGAGTAAGTTAAAACAAAGCATACAATAACCAAGCAGTACTAAAATTAAGAACGAGACAAGATATCCCTAGATACACAGACAGTAAAGCGAGAACGGTCTACCTCCTTAGATTAAATAAAGGTTTCAATTTGGAATTCCCTTTATGTTACCTGGATCGATATACACTTGATGAAGGCCAGTGTACAACGGCTGAAACATTGTTAACAACAAAAATGATCAGAATGTTAGTGGACATGCAAATAGTGTAAATAATGACCTCATCCTAGAATTTCCAACAGAAATGTGCTTATAGGTTGGCAGAATACCATCAAAACGGCAAGCTGATGGCAAAGACTTTTTCAGACCTCATTCCAAGTTGCCAATGTTTTGAATATAAGCTAACAGTGAATGGTTGGCTTTCTTAGGTGCCAAATTACCATACATTTGTTCCTAAGAGAAGCAACCTGTCAATCATTTACCCCCGTGTACATATAAATATCTATGTGAGGATGCTAAAATTTTTGGCCTGACCCATTTCCAATAATCCGGGGAAGAGACTAAATTTGTTTTTGGAAAGGTTTCTTGATCAGGTCAAAAAATTTTCAGCACCCCCCCCCTCATTTTAACAAAAATGCTGAATAAAGGGCAAGTGCAAAAAAAAAAAAAAAAAAAAAAAGAGAGAACAGTAACACGAAGACATGACAGAAAATGCATTTACTTAGAACACTGTGTGAGCAAAGGAACTAATTTTAATGTAAACTGTCTGAAAGATGAAAAGATGACTACACACATACATTTTTATAGTAAAAATACCAGCAATACATTTTTGAAAAAAAAAAAAAAAAAATTACTAGCAATATATTTTTGTAAATGAAATTACTAATGCTCTCAAGAAAATTAAATCTTGGCATTAAGTGACCCATAAGGAATTGATAAAAAGAGTTAAACAAGTAAACCCTCAATGATTATGACAAATTCCAGGATGGAGCACAAATTTTAAATTAGATACATCTAAATTCAGATACGGAAATAAAGTTAAGTTTGATTCATGTTTAGGTTAAGACATACGATAATGCTTACTGTACTGCTGAATCCTGATATCAGTATTATAGCTTGAATTTCTTGAATACAGAGACCTGGTGCACTAAGTGCCACAAGGTTCCCAAACGACACTCCGCAGGTTTTGAATTCAGAGTTGTCCTTCTCCTAGACCAGTTGCCATCCAAGGCTATAGAACCCATAGCTGGAGGGAGAAGAAGAGGATTCATACCTTTCCCAAGGGTATTAGCACATAAGTGAATGTAATGGATTCGACTGGAATTTGAACTCTGCTCTGCGATCCTCAATCCAAGCCGCTATCCATTACTCCACCGTACCTCCTATATATATATATATATATATATATATATATATATATATATATATATATATATATATATACACACACACACACACACACACACACACGGATGAGTTTAGATCGCACCACCACAGCAAAATGCCATGGTGCCTGTATTTAATGGCAATGTGCCCTTAAAATATAAGCTACATTCATGGAAATTTTTGCCTTCAACTTAAAAAAAAATTTGTAAATGTTTTTTTTTTTTTTTTTTAAATTCAAGAATGAAAAATGTTACATTTTTTCTTAAGATAGTCATGGGGATTTCCCAAGAAAAAAAAATTCGACTAGAGTCCTATGTGGATATATTTTCAAAGAAAAGAGGTAGATGAAAGGAATTTCAACAAATGTTACAAGTTTATTTCAATCTTGCAACATTTATGTCTACTAGAAATGAAATAAACATCATATGTGTACTCACACACACTACATAGTATTAATACATTTCATTTTAAAACAGAAATACTTAAATAGACTGGTCCCCTCAAAAAGGAAAGAAAGCTACATGTATGTCAAAAAGTCAGGAATCAGTTTGACATTGCATTTATAGTGTAAACAAGACCCCTCCCCACCCAATCTAAAATAATAGAAAATTAATGTTTTTTTTTTTTTGTTTTTTTTTTTGATTCTGACAAATTGCTTGGATAGAAGTTCTTCTGAATTCTAGGCAACAAAAATTAGTTGTGAAAATATTTTTATCTATAAGAAATTAGTAATTAATATTCATGTCAGAAAGTAAAAGATCGTTTTGACATTTACTGGACATATCTTTTTTGTTTCAATAATTTGGATTTTATGCTGAAAAAGCTTTATATTTTTTATACAGTAATCTTATTCTTTCCATAACATATTCTAAGCTAATAATATTGTAATGTTTGATTTCTTTTTTGAAAATGTCCCACTGCAATGTATCATTGCTAATAATTCTAGTCATATGTTATTTGTCAATAAAAAATATTTGATTTTAAAGATTTTTGTTTATATTTATCAATTTTTTAAAGTTTTTACATTAATATTACTTTTTACAAATAAAAAAAAAAAACAAATTCTAAAAATTGCCATGGTGCCCTCATTTTTAAGGGGCCCACCTTAGCCTAAACTTATGTGTGTGTGTGTGTATATATATATATATAAATAAATAAATAAATATTGCACATTGAGGGTTGAGGTTAATAAAATAGTGCTCAATGCAATATAACAGAGGTATAAACTATATATATTAATAAATATACATTTTTTTTTGTCCCTCACTGGTAGCATGACTCAGAGTTTCATGCACAATGTAATTTTCAGGTGCTATACTCACCATTATAAGATTGTGTTATGCATGAAACTCTGAGCCATGCTATTGGTAAGGGAAAAAAATGAATATATATATATATATATATATATAAAATCCAAATATAAGAGAATGAAATGAATATAAATTCAAACATTCATAACATTAATTTGAAAAAAAAAAAAAAAAAAAGGGCTCAATACAAGAATAGAGCAATAAATATTTATTATAAACTGTTACATTGGAACATGCAAGTTACCATGATAAAAATGTGTATTTGCTTCAACGTCTAAAAATGTCTCATCAGGTGGTGTGCATTTCTGTCGTGGTAACTTGCATGTTCCAATGTCACAGTTTATAATATATATATATATATATATATATATATACACATACACACACACGATAAAAAAATTATATATATATATATATATATATATATGCCAACAAGTTTTGTTAAATTCAACCAACAAAGTGTTGTTTTATTTGTATTTTTCCATTTTAGATGCGTGCTTAGTGTAACAGTGACTTAGAATGAAAAATCAGAGAGCTGAGTTCAAATTCCAATCAAGTTCATTATATTCGGTTATGCGCAGATACCTGATATACACATATTTGAATTAATTTGAATTCTAGCATAAAAGGGAAAAAAACAATAATACGGTCAGGATGTAGCCAACAAAATCTTGTCTACTATACTGACAACATTCAGCTCTTGAAAATGACCAAGAAAAAAAGTCTTGAATTTTGGACAGTTTATCTAAAATTTTGATTTTACTGTAAAACAAAAAATTAAAGAGACCTTGTTGATTGAATATAACAAAACCTATTTAAATTAACTCTGACTGTCTAAATATACATTATATAAGCATAGGCCTGCTACTGGTAACATGTAACACAGTACAACCTGAGTGGTTGCCATCTAAAACCTGTTCCCCCACTAGCTTTTTTACTGGTGAAGAGGGTGTCATGTAATGCAACAGGATGAAAAACAAAACCTGTCAAAGGGTGGACTGGCTTATTAGAGGAGTCAATGGCATATATATATATATATATATATATATATATATATATCCCTGAATGTAACGAGAATGAAAATAATATATAAATTCTAACATTCACAGCATTAATTCAAAAGAGGACTCAATACCACTAGTAGAGCAATAATTGTTTATTATAATTTTTTCATATAGACAAAAACAATTTACTCACAGCAAAGATGCAACTTCGTTTCAGTGCATTTAGTTGCACCTCAACTGGTTTTTGGTTTTCACCAGTCGAGGTGAAACTAAATGCACCGAAACAAAGTTTCATCATTGTCATGAGTAAATTGTTTTTGTCTATATGAAAAATATATATATATATATATATATATATATACTGACAAATCAACAATATTGAGATTCTAATATGGGTCAGAAAGCAAACATTCTAACCACTCAGCAACACGCCCATATTACACAAAAAACTATATATACATGTAACATATTCATTAGCTAAACCTTTGCATGTGCATACACACTTACAGCATAAACATAACATCTCCACATACACGTGTAAATGTATGTAAA